AAGCAATCATGGTTTTTAATTTAAAAAAACAGAAAAATAACAGCTGACATTTATTGAGCAATTATGAGATGCTAACTAAGACTGCTGAGTCCCTTATACAGTATCTTCATGTTGAATCTCATCATTGCCTTGTCACTTACTCTAATTTAAAATGTGAGACTCAAAAGAGGTTAGTCATTTGCCAAAGATCATAGAGCTGATAACTGACAGAGCCAGGACACCAGCTCTCAGCTATGGCCAAACTTATAACTATGCCCCCAAACTGCACTAAGACCAGAGCCACATATGGCTATTTAAATGTAAATGAAAATGAATGAAAATGAATGAAAATTAAAAATTTAGTTCCTTAAGCACAGTAACCACATTTCAACTGCTCAATAGCTACTCGGCTTGGTGCAGAGACAGAACATTCTCATCATTGCAGGAAGTTCTGCTGGAAAGCATTGATCGAATCCCTTAACAGTCATAAAATGTTGAAAGCCCATATGATGGGTGGTTAAGGGAAGAGATGGAATAGTAGAAGGATGAGAACAGAGGAAAAGGAAGGAGAAAGATTTAGAGAGAGCAGTTCATGGAGAAAGGAGCCTAAATCTACCGGTAGAGTGGCCCCTGAGGACGTTTTTAGTCTATTATATTTGTAAACTTTGGCAGTTAAAATTCCAAAATATGTTAAATACATACTTCAAAAAAATTAGAGTTGCAATTCAACAGATAGTTAAGTCTCAGTTGTGTGCCTGGCATTGGGTGAGGGGGGATTCCTAGGTGAACAAAATGGACACAATTTCCCATCATCAAAATTAGAGCAACATTAATCCAATAATTAGAATAAAGCATGACAGTTATTTTGTAGTGGAAAGAATTCTATAGAAATAAATAGCAGAGGGACCCATGTAGCCTAGACAGGGCTTAGAAATGTCTCCCCAAAGAAGTGCTGTCAATCTGAGAAAGGAAGGATGAGAGAGGCAGTGGGCAGTAGCAGGGGGGTGTTGCAGGCAGACAGCCAGCTGTGAGAAGGCCTGATGTCAAAAAGAAGGACTGAACTAAGTTACACGGGTGGCTGGAGAGAGGAAGAATAGCGAAAGGTGAGCCAGGGAGCCAGGGACAGGTGGGGGAGCTTGCTAAAATATTCTGTCATAAGGATGATGTAAAGCCTGAAGATTTTTCAGCCAACAAGAGATACGTTCAGATTCACATTTTGAGACAATTTCTCTGGTTGACACGCTAAGAATGGCTTAATGGGAAGCAAGCCTGTAGGCAGAGGTTACCTGGAAGCTATTTTGTACTAGGATGGTGGTAATATGGCTGGAAAAATGGTGATTGTCATGCTATTTGGAGCTAGAATGTAGACGGTGGTGATCACTTGGTTGTGTCTGAAGGATGACACTTATATTTCTAGCTGGGGAAACTTCATAGAGTAGGGGTCAGTAACCTACAAGCCAAATCCACTCTGTACTGTTTTTGTAAATACAATTTTATGGGAACACAGACATGCCTGCTCTTTGATGTATTGTCTATGGCTGCTTTTGTGATACAGTGACAGATTTTGAGTAGTTGCAGCAGAGACCACATGACCCTTGAAGCCTGGAATATTTACTATCTGGCCCTTTAAGAAAATGTTTGCCAACTGGGATAAATGATCATTACCTACAAGGTATTAAGATTTACTAGGGAAGGCTTTAAATAACTTACATCTGTTACATATATTACGATAATCTATCTCAATCGGCAAACATGAAGTGTTTGCTATTGTCCCATTTTACAGATGAGAAAACCAAGGCAGAGATATGACATTCTCATTCACACCCATAGCTTCAGTGATCACCACCAGTGACTTATCAAATGTTTACATCTAATCCAGACTTCTCATTTGAGCTTCAGACAGGCTCAATATCTCTAGCAGCCTTGTATCTCTAACAGCCAGTCTCAGAGGCACCTCAAAACTCAATAGGCCCCAAACCAGACTCCTGCTCACCCTCTCAAACCACATCATCTGGGCTTCCCTGGTGGCACAGTGGTTAAGAATCGGCCTGCCAATGTAGGAGACACGGGTTCGAGCCCTGGTCCAGGAAGAATCCACATGCCGCGGAGCAACTAAGCCCGTGCACCACAACTACTGAGTCTGCTCTCTAGAGCCCGTGAGCCACAACTACTGAAGCCTGCGCTCTAGAGCCCATGAGCCACAACTACTGAAGCCCATGCGCCTAGAGCCCGTCCTCTGCAACAAAGAGAAGCCGCCACAATGAGAAGCCTACGCACCACAACGAAGAGTAGCCCCCGCTCACCACAACCAGAGAAAAGCCCACATGCAGCAACAAAGACCCAACGCAGCCAAAAAAAAAAAAACAAACAAACAAACAAAACCACCTCATCTTTCAGTGTTCCATTTTTCTTGGTGAATATCACAACCAGAGAAGCAAGCCAGAATCCAGGGAGCCCTCCTAGGCCCCTCGCCCTCCCTTGTTCTTCTCATTTCCAATCTATCTAAAGATTGCTGAAATCTGACTGCTTCTCTCCATTGGCATCACCTACCACCTGCCAAGTCCAGCTTTTTAATAGGATCATCTCACATGTGGGTTCTGTTAATAGCTTCCTTATAGCCCGCTGCACCCAGGCCCTCCTCCAATCTCCAAACTGCAGCCAGAGGGCACTTCAAGCCTGTCAACTCCCACCCCCATTCCCTACCAGATCCTAATCTTTTTTTTTTTTTTTTTTTTTTTGCGGTACGCGGGCCCCTCACTGTTGTGGCCTCTCCCATTGCAGAGCGCAGGCTCAGCGGCCATGGCTCACAACCACTGCGCCACCAGGGAGGCCCCGATCCTAATCTTTTGAACGTTTTTTCTCCTTCTGAGGATTCCTTGGACCCTTTCATTGTGGTTTTACATTGTTTTATTGTTTTTTTGAGTTATTGTTCAGCTAACTGATAGAAATGCAAAATAATTCTTGTCAGTAGACATGCAAATCAATTCTGAAGGTCAGGGTTCAACTAACATCTCTCCTCCACTTGGAAGAAGCCAGTTTCATGTCCATTAGCAACTTCCTTTAACAATTCACTAACCCAGTAATGTGTCTGTTCTTTGAACCAGTTTTAACCTGTGCCTGGTAACTTCATTAAATGAGTTAGATAAACTCTACAAGTTCATTTTATATCTATATGACAGTCATACTTTTACCTTTTGGGGAAACGTAACCTTTAACTCTCTCTCTGAGGCACTAGCTGGTTGGCTCTCTGCCTCCCCTCCCAGGCTCTCCTTTGATGGACCCCCCTCCACATGTCTCTCCTCCAGCCCTGGCTCTCTCTCTTGTATAAGTACCACATTCCTTCCCTTCTCAAAGATGTCCTTTCTGCCTGGAACTCACTTTCATCCCGGACATTCTTCATCCTTTCTTCCTATAGTAAATTTGTTTATCCTCCAGATCTTTGCTCGAGGATTTCTTGCTGGAAAGCCTTTCCAGACCTTTCTGAGTCAGTTACATTCCATCATTCCATCATTAGAGGCTCTTAAAGCACAGGCAGCGCTGGCTACATTTGCAATTTCACATTTGTGGGATTAGTTAACACTTTTTTAACACGAGTAACATTTTTCTATTTGGCTGGAGGCAATGCATGGTAATAGGATGGAGGTGTGCTCACATCGCATCTCCAGCACTTAGCCCACCGCCTGCACAAATGTTACATACTTCATGAATATGTTAGACAGATTTTTGACTGTAAGCACATTACTGCTCAGGAGAGAGGTGGGCTGAAAAAATATGTATTAAGAAGTCATCAGCATCTAGATGCTGCCATGAAAACGCACATGAAGGAAAACCATTGGGTTGAGCAAAATGAAAGCTACTAGGAACCTTGTGTAGGTGGAATAATTGGACAGAAGTCAAATTATAGTCACTTGAAAGGGAAGGAAATAGAAGCAGTTAATACAGATGGCACCTTCTCAGAGTTTGGCTCTGGAGGGGAGGAAAGGCCAGGGTGGCCCTGTAGTAAATCTTTAATAACACCATTCTTGTATTACACGTGCTTTCCTGGCTGAAAAGGGAGGATTTACAGGTCACATGTAAAATGGCAAGAAAATTGGAGTTGTATAGGATCTACCTTTAAAACCATAATAGGCTTTGAATGAACAGTACAGTGTAGACTTTTAAAAAATTATTTATTTATTCATTTATTATTTATTTATTTATGGCTGCGTTGGGTCTTCGTTGCTGCGCGCAGGCTTTTCTCTAGTTGTGGCGACCGGGGGGCTACTCCTCGTTGTGGTGCATGGGCTTCTCATTGCGGTGGCTTCTCTTGCTGCGGAGCACGGGCCCTAGGCACACAGGCTTCAGTAGTTGTGGCTCGCGGGCTCTAGAGCGCAGGCTCAGTAGTTGTGGTGCACGGGCTTAGTTGCTCTGTGGCATGTGGGATCTTCCCGGACCAGGGATGAAACCCATGTCCGATTCTTAACTACTGCACTACCAGGCATGTCCCAGTGTAGACATTTAAACCAACATTTTGAACGCAAATAAGTTGTCTGTAGCTCTTCAACTAAGGGTTTCTTATTTTTAGGCTTGGGGCAGGAGTCAAAAACTGGCAGCCCTACAGTATACTTAATCTGTATATCTTCTTTACTTGTTCAATTCAATTTTACATTTCTTTAAAAAGGACTCTGTCCAATAAAATATAAAAATAAAAATAAATTAATAAATAAAAAAGACTCTGGTTTTTAGTGACATGTGACCTGGGGCTCCACCCCAGCATAAGAGGCTTTTCTATGCCTAGTATTAAGGGGAGAGAGGAAGGGAGAAGTGAATGCAGTTTTCTGAGCAATAAGATTAGAGCTGTATTGTCTTTAGGGCTGTATGAAATCAATTCTAAAAGCAGACTGGATTTAACCGCTTTTACCCAAAATAAACTGCTCTCTCCCCTTCCTAAGATCAAATCAGCACAAGTCACCACTTCCTATTAATTTAAAAGCCCAGAAAGGCTCATAATTTAGGTTGACATTGCTTCAGGAGCACACAGCAGACAACAGCCATTACAGTCTTCCTTTTCCCTCTTTCTAAATGTTGCCATCACAGGCCTACCTCAAGAAATTGTCAAAGCTGCTTGGTTGGGAACGCGTGGTCTACTTTGCCTGAAAGCGATAAATGGGTTGGGTGGGTAGGTGGGTCTAAGTGGCATCAAGGTGTTTGGGGAGAAACATCTCTTAGGGGATGTGAACCTAGTAGCCCCGTAACACCCCAAGTTACAAATCCGACTTGGGTAGGTGGCGGAAAGAAATCTAAAACCCGGATTCACGTTCTTCTCCAGTTTGCGCGTGGAGGTTGGTGGCAGACAAGAACCCAGGCACCACTGCCAGTCCTGGCTGCAAACTCTCGGGGCAGGAAGGGGGAGGGAAGCAGAAACTGCCTCTTGTGGGCTGGTCGAAGGAAAATCTGCCCTAATGTAAATTAATTTCCCCGAGGTTGCCTTCCCCTGGGCGGAGGGGCGTTTCCAGGCCCACCCAGGCGTTGTTTGGTAAATAAGGATGCTTGCTGAGTGCTTGCAGCCGGAAAGGCGCTCCTGCACTCTCGTGCCCTGGGGGCTGGGACTACGGCTTGGGGTTTCCCGACCGAAGGACCACAGTGACCAGACAGTTGAAGGTTTCTCCCCCAGGGATGCTGGAGGCGCTGCGCTGTTCCCTGCGCCTGGCCCTGGCCTGGGGTTCCGGGTGTTGGCGGCCGGCTCCGCGCGGTCCGTGCGCTGGAGCTTGGCCGCGCCGCCCGCTTTCGCGTCCAGCCGGGCGCTGCGTGCCGCCGCAGCTCTCCGCAGCCGCGCGCTCCCGGAGCCGCCCCATGGCCAGCCCTCCCCCCGCCGCCGCAGCCCTCGCCCGCCAGGTACCCCGACCCCGGGCGTTCGCGGGCGTAGGGGTGGGGCGGATTGGACCCCGGGTCCCGGAAGCCCACGGGCCCGGCCGGGCGCGCTGCTGCTGTTTCCCGCACCATCCTGCTTCGCCTTGCACCACCGTGCTGTCTCCATCCGGGAGTCTCCTCTTTCCCCAGCCCTGCCCGAAATCTCGAGTCCCAGCCTGCGAATTCCTCGGAGAAGCCCCCGCCAGACAGGTCTAAAGTCCCGCCGGGGACCCGCTCCGGAGCGCGGCGCGGACAGCCACGGGGAGCGTGAGGGTCGCCATGGAAGCCGCTTTGGTGGAGGAGGGGTTGGTGGGGGGAAGCGGAATTTCTGGGCTGCCAGAACTGACAGCCGCATCCTGCGTGCCTTCGCCACCCCAAAATATTTTGACCGCAGCCTTCTGCCTCCTTGGATTCCCTTTCTTCCTCTTTCCCCTAGTGCTGTACCAGATTAGGCTTTTTTTTTTTTTTAAGGTCTTCACCGTTTCCAGTTCGACCTGTTTCCATTGTGTCCTTAAGTATGTTTAAAATTTACCCCCTAATTCCGTGCGGTTTTGTCTTTCACGTGTGGGGTTTAGTGTCCTTGCGCCTGCATCGGAGGACCCTGCCCGTAGAGAAAATGGTTCACTCTGGTCCCCATCCTTTTTCTAGGCTTGCTATTGTGCGCCCGTGATCGACAAGACCACGAGGCTGAGCGCGCCGAGGAGGTTTTTTCTATAAATGGCTTAAAGCCCTAGTCTAGACTATTTTCTCGGATAAAAGGGGGAGACAATTACCTTCTTGTTCTTTGCTGGTGAACCCTGGCTCTGTAGGGCGAACCTGGAATTTAACCAGTCTGCCCGAAGCCGGCTGTGGAGGACAAAAACAGCCGCGACCTCCGGCAGGGCAGAAAGAGAAGGGCAGCCCTCGCAGGACGCTCTCCTTTGGGGCTCGTGCCTGGGTGTTTGATCTTCCTTTTCCTGTTTGCTTGGGGACCGGACCGGAGCCGAGCGAAGGGTGTGATGGTGAGTGATATTGATTACCCCAGACCCCAGTTACCCACCTAGTTTTACTTAATGGATTTAATTCTTCTTTTAAGGACTGCAATAATGGATGCTCCGCGGAATGTACCGGAGAAGGAGGATCAAAAGAGGTGGTGGAGACTTTTAAGGTAAGTTATTTGCCAGAGGCTAAGAGAAACAGCCATTCAATTGAATACAGCCATTTCTTGTTGAGATTGGGGCAGTTTTCACTGTACGGGTTTATACAGTAATTTAGATAAGCTGCCATGCATTTTAAATTCCACTCTTCCAGGGGAAAAGTGGAGAGCAGTGCAGTACAGATGTGTCTAAAATTACCTGGCAGTTAATTGCTTATTTTATTTCATGAATTATAAAAGTTTTCTTGGAAAGTAACCAGTTCCTGAATTTCACCTAGAGGTTTACATGATTATATAATACTTTTAACCCTTCACCCTATTTGTGGAAAAAGTTAAACTCATGTATTTCGTCTTTAAGCAGCAGCTAACATTTTACAGTAAAAGAGGAAAAATGGCAGTATTTCCTTCTTTTCTCTCTAAATTATGGAATTTATATATTAAATAATCTCATACATCACAGAGGAATAGTGAGGAGCAAAAGAGAACGAATCTTGTAAAGTACTTTAAAAATCATAAAATCATAAATGTAAGGTGTATTATCATTTTCTCTATAATTCATTATCTCCACCTACTCCCAACCCCCCACACCACAGAGATTTTTGCTTTTTTTTTTGTCTCCTTCTGCTCTTCTGCTGCCTGTTTCAGTCACTGTCAATTGTCATCCATAGCACAGAGTGTCCTAATGATCTCACATCCTGGCAGGGTTCAGAGAGGGAGTGAAACTTGACTCATCAATTCCACACATACCCTGCTCTTACTGTGTGCCAGGGACTGTGCTAGGCATTGGAAATCCAAAGATAAATTTAATAGAAGATCTCTGCTCTCAGGACTTTTTAAAAACCAAAATATAATAGGATATAGTAATAAGTTTGTGAATTTGTTCCTTGTCCTTTAATGTCCTCTATAACCCAACAGTCAATCTACTCTGCTAGCCTATGAAGACTAAGCCCCTAATACATTTGAGGGACTTAGATGTTGAGATGTGGGTCCTTGAAAGAATGAGATAAAGAGGAATTCTACTTCATAATCTCTGAGGGTCATCTTATATAGTAAATTCCTCAAAGGTTATAGATAAATTAAAAATTTCCCCAAAGGCCTTTATACTTTTATACATAGAAGAATTGTTTGCAAAGTGAAGAGTTAATTCATCAGGTAAGTAATCTTCTCTTTGTTAATTTAGATTTCAGGTAAGGAGGGGTGTATTGAATAGTCTATACTCATGTATTTGCATATCAAAACATGAGTGGTAATGGTGGTTGTATTCACTGTGCAAATGTGATGAGGTGAACGAAAAATGAAATTGATAATTTGGGGGAGAAAAATGGTGGCTTTTACAGGATCGTGTTGGCTTTGGACGTATTCTATCTCCCTTTTGATCAACTCCATTTATAACTTTTAAATTGCCTTTTGGGTCTCATGGGTAGTTTTCACATTGCATCTCTTCCCCCATTTTGATAGTCATTTTAACATGAGGAAACCGTTATCCAAGAGTCCAGTAATGAGATGCCTTATTACTGAAATCCTACAGAATCTTTCTGTGGACTCCAGGGTTGTTCTTGTTTCAAGGAGGTCAGCTGTCTGTTTCTTCCCATCCCCCCTGCTTCCACAGAATGTGCCGCTCCAAAAGCCCTAATTTACTCCTATCTGTACCTCGTTATTAGATTTTTAGAAAGTGTCTGTAAATGATAATGAACGTAGCACCCATGGTTTTCCAAATAGAGCAAGACAAACACACTTGTTTTAGAACAAAGTTATGCAACATCTGATACAGTTGTAATGCAGGGATAGCCTTTGAAAGTTTAAGTGCCAATTCAGAGAAGTACTGATGCCATGTAGCCTGAATGCCGGCTGATACAGCCCTCAGGTGCTCTCAATCCAGTTGCAATAGCCTGCTGTGGCTTCCCCATCTCAGACCAAATGGTTCCCCAACCACACATCTTGAGTCAAGAAATTGTGGTTTTTAGTATGCCCTGTTTTTGTCAATATTTCTTGCCATTTCACAATCCAGTCTTTGTGGCCTTCCAAATTCTTCCACAAGTATATGGTATCCTGACTTTGAAGTCATCAGAGACCATTGGAGCATGGGAAAGAGCACTAAGTTGAGCATAAAAACATAAAAAAGGCTTTGCCATTAACTAACCTGATCTCAGGGCAAGAGGGTCCTACCCACTATGGGTGGTCTTAGAGGTATTTTAAAGAGAGGATTCAGAAAAGTAAAAAATATATACTAGGCCTTGATCATTCTTCAAGTTGGCTGTCTAAGGGTTTGGAATAACAACAACAACAAAAAGGTCTTTTATGAATTATAGTAGTACAAGTTTTTGTTTTCAGTTTTGTTTTTACACAGTCTGTTATGTCGAGATATCCAAAACCGTGAGGATAAATCTAGGTTTAGTGAAGTTTAGAACAGAATTAATCGGACGTGATACTGTGCTAAATGAGAGGCCAAAATGATAAAGAGAAATGACTCCCATTTCCCAATTGTTCAAATCAATCTGAAGGATTTTATAGAGGAAACCAAGCATTTTGGAGAGTGGGCTGTCTATCTGGAGGGTTTGCATGAGCAGTAGGTAAGGCAAGTGTTAGGCAGTTGGAAAGCTGAGGATACCCCAGACTGCTGGGCTGGGTGAGGGTACTAGTTTCCACATTTACTGCTGGAGGAAGAAAGGAGGGAGTTTGGATAAACTGGAGACACCTGATGTTCTGCTTTACAAGTGGAAGAAATAATGGAGAAAAACAGGTGAGGGTGGGAAGACATCTGTAGCCAAGTTTTAGTCCTTCTATCTCTTCCCATGTTAGACAAGAATATGTAAGTGTTCAGGCACTAGGCTGATGTGTACCGCAAATACAGCCCCAGACAACGTTCCTGTTAACAGAACTCTGATTCACAGTTTTCCAACCGGCCCTGGATGACAAATCTGCCTTCCCAGCCTCCCTTGCAGCTAGAGAGATCACTATGACAGATTTCTAACCAATAAGGCATAGGGAATTTCTGGGAAATTTTTGCTTTTGTGGTCAAAGGAACAGATTTGTCTGGTATTGTCCTTTTCCTCCCCTTTCTTTGGACTTTGATTAGATCATTAACACTGAAGCTACAGCTACAGCTGTAGCAGCCTTCTTTTGACCCAGAGGAGACGGCCAAGAAAATCACAGAGCCTTGACAGTAACGGGTGCTGGCAGGCCTGGCTCCTCCAGACTTGTTATGAGAAAACCAGCTCCTGTTTGGTTTTTATTTACTTGCAGCTGAACGCATTGATTGGTAAATGATAAAAGGTTTATGCATAACATTAGTGAGAGGTAGAATTGTAAAAGGAAGTTAGTGCCTTGCTTGGGATCCTTGATTTTGGGGTTAAAATATTTGGACTCGAATCTGTAGCCATTTAGCTGTTCGTGGACTTTTGAAGGTAATGATTAAACATGTGATACTTGAAAGTACAAGTGTCTTAATTCAGTGATCGATATGGGAAGCAGGGTTGGGAGAATGTTGTGAGAATAAGCTCAAAAGTAATGAACAGGGCTTCCCTGGTGGCGCAGTGGTTGAGAGTCCGCCTGCTGATGCAGGGGACGCGGGTTCATGCCCCGGTCCGGGAGGATCCCACATGCCGTGGAGCAGCAGGGCCCGTCAGCCATGGCTGCTGAGCCTGCGTGTCTGGAGCCTGTGCTCCGCAACAGGAGAGGCCACAACAATGAGAGGCCCGTGTACAGCAAAAAAAAAAAGTAATGAATATGCAAAGAAAATAGAGGAAAAATACACAGTGAATGTGCTAGCAGAGGTCATCTCTGGGAAGTGGATATGTAGTTGCCAGGTAAAAGATGGAGATTTTTACTTTTCATTTTTCTTTACTTCTTTCAGTATAATGTTTTGAATAAATTAAGGATTAAGAAGTCTGGGCTTCCCTGGTGGCGCAGTGGTTGAGAGTCCGCCTGCCGATGTAGGGGACACGGGTTCGTGCCCCGGTCCGGGAAGATCCCACATGCCGCGGAGCGGCTGGGCCCGTGAGCCATGGCCGCTGAGCCTGCGCATCCGGAGCCTGTGCTCCACAACGGGAGAGGCCACAACAGTGGGAGGCCCGTGTACCGCAAAAAAAAAAAAGAAAAAGAAAAAGTCAAGAAGTAGAAAGTAATATGAATATCAGAAATAGGGACCCAATTTTGAAGGAAATATTATGTGTTCCATTTTAGACATATTCAGTTTGAGATTACATATTCAGTTCATATGATTGCAAGAGAGTAAGTGGCTTTTGGTAAGTATTCACAAATCTGTGAGATTTGAATCTGTGTCACTGGTTCTCAGCCTTTCTTGTGCATTGGCATCTCCTGGAGAGCTTGAAACCAAAACTGATGTGGAGCCCCACTCCTGAGTTTCTTTTGCACTGAGCTTAGGTAGGGCGTGGGCATTGATATTTTTCTTAAAAAAAAAAAAAAAACCTCCCAGGTAAATCGACTCAGCAGCCAATGTTGGGAACCATTGCTGTTCAAGTTGATGAAATCTTCAGGGGAGATGGTGTGGTGTGGTTCTCAGCCCTGACTGCACAGTTGGAGTCCACTTGGGTAAACTTAAACAAACAAGCACCCCCCTGCTCCATCCTTCTGGGATTCTGGAACGGGGTCCAGTTTAATGATTTTTAAAAACCTCCATGGTTGAATCCAGTGTTTGGCCAGGGTTGAGAACACAGATGCCAAGGGGGGCAGTGTAGAGGCTCAAGGAAAAAGCTCAGAATTACCCAGATTCTCTTATTTTTCCACCATTTAAACTCTCCTCCTTCCTCCAACTTTGCTCTTCCATACTTAGTAAAAACAGCGAGAAATTAAAGCATGGTAGCCTGGCTCTAGTATTATCCCTCAAATTAGCTGGGATGGAGAAAGAAACTGGGTTTACCCTAACTGCCAGCAGTGTCTACGGTACCGGTCCCAGGGAAAGAAAGAAGATGGCGTACAGTCTTGGTTACACAGAGCCAGGGCTCATGGAGAATTGGAATGTCGGTCAGTGTACAATGGAGTAACTGGTTCTC